TTTCTTTTCTTTTTTTTTTTTCATTTAGCAAAAGAAAACAAGAAAAAGAAGACGCAGCAGCAGTTCTATTTTGTTGTTGTATAATTTCATAAATGATTTGAAATTTTAATTTTTTTATTTTTATTGCAAATCAAATGGAAATTAAAAATTTAATTTAATTTACAAACAAAGAAAAAAAGTTTTGTTTGTTTTTTTTTTTTTCTTTACTTTAATTATATATATAGATGTATTTTTAATTAATATAAATGTGTAAGTATAATTAGTTAATAATGTTGTATTAAAACATAGACGCTTTGTTTTATTTATTTATTTTTGTTTGTGAATTTCTATTAACGGTAAACGGTAACGGTAACAGTAACGGAACTCAACGTTGTCGACGTTCTTTTGGAGGAGGGGCTTATCGAATCGAATCGGAAGGAATCAAAACCGCTCTGATCTCTGATCTTATCTGTTTCGCGATTTGTATCATAACTGTAACTTTCTCTCTGTCTCTCTCTCTCTCTTTGTTATCTGTATCTCTCTCTCTCTCTCTCTCTGTTATCTCTCCGTCACGAGCGTTTACTTTAGGGGGAATCGTTTGTTTCTGTTTTCAGTTTGTTTAGAACTATTAACAAGAAGTAGTTAATGCTTGTTTTTGTTTGTTTGTTAATTACTGGTTTGGCCTAAAATTAAAGAAAAAATTTTAAACAAATTATTCACGGCTGGAAAAAATATTAATAATGGGTGAAAAAAAGGAAACAGAAGAAAAAGAAGAAGAAGAAGAAGAAAACAAATACGAGAAATTTAATCAAAACAGATTTAACGGAAAAAATGTTAAAAACCAACCAAATTAAAACATTTTTTTATTTGTTTATTCATTTGTTTTCTTTTGTTTTTGTTCTTTTCTCTTCATTGACATATTTGGAAAAAGAAAAGTAAACGCAATTTTTTTTATTTAAATACTCAATATTTTGCATTAAAAAAAAAAAAAAAAAAAAAAAAAAAAAAATACAGTTTTAATTTTGATTTGAATATGAAGAAAAATCAGACAGTAAACAATTTGCAAGGCTCCTAATTAGTGGCATGATAATGTATATACACAAACATGGGTAGATAAATAAAGAAGAAGGAGAAGAAGAAGTAAATGTGAAGGACATATAAAGGACTTAATACCCTACTTATGCACATAACAATAAATAGAAAGTAAAAGAGTGACGGAGAGCGCGCGACAGAGCGATTGAATATATCTCAAATCGAACGATAACAGATCTCCAATTGGATGCTGTTCATTCCGATCTGTATATATATAATATATATTACTATATTTTTGGTTATATATCTATATAGATATATGTATGTATGTATGCGAAGTTTTGTATTTGTTTTGTATCCGCGAATTGAGTTTGATCAAAGTCTAAAAGAATCTCAAATGAACCGAAGTTTTTATTTTCATTTATATTTTGTATTTATATATTTTTTTATTTATTTTAGATATTCGAATTTATTCTTAACCAATTACCCCTGTGTATGTGTGGGAGTGTACATAATTCCATATGTATTTTGTTTTTATGATATTAACATATACTTGCTCATATTTTTATTTTTAAACATTTTGTTAGTTTTAATGAATTAGAATAAATAAGAAACAAATGAAAAACAAATTTTAAGAAATAATAATAATTACAATAAAATAAAGAATTCAATAATTCATTTTATTTAAAAAATAAAAAAGCTGCATGCAATTTCTTTTCTTTATATGCAAAAATAAAACTTTTAAAAGGCATTGCAAATTTAGAAAACCAATTTAAGATAATAAACATGCAAAACTGAAAAATAAAAAATTTTTAAAAATGCGAAGCATTTGCCCTCAATATCAGATGTAAGCCATATGGAACGAGAGCTAATAAATATTTTTTAGTTCAATTTAAATTTCGTTTAAATTCTAATTTCAGTTTCGCTTTGAATGTCTGCTTAAATATTTATTCATTATATCGTATAATTGAATAAAAATAATTACTACAAAAATTGTAAACAATAATCCAAAACCGGTTTTTTATGTACTGAATTGGAGTTTAGATCTGATGTAATAATTCAAAAAATGGTTTTATCAAGTTCTAATTTAAGAATGTGTACAATAACATCAAGAAATATGATTAAAAAAATAACCGACTGATAAACGAAACTAATTTTCATTCTATAAATTTTTAGAAAAAAAAAACATTATTATCATTAAAATTCAAAAATATAATTATTTGAAATTTGTAGACAAACAATATTATTGTTAACCTCAGAATTCCTCCTGCCTCCACATTAGCATATTCTTACTTATTTTTCTCGATAAATACATATATTTCTGCAATTTTAACTTTAAGATAATTCATTCTATGATAGGTATACTCCATATTTTCCTAATATTCCCTTTATTTTTACTCGTTTTATTCAGTTTTTATTCCCATTTCAGCACATCGCAAAAAAACTTCTTTGGACCAGTTCTGTTTTTTGTTTACTAAGTTACAACAAATTTCAGCTCAGCTTCCCTAAACGGGAAAGATCTTAAATTGTTCTACTTGAATTGGCGTTTAAGAAATCATTTTGACTACTTTTAAAATTAATTTAATTAGTCACAAAATGTAAAAATATTTTAATTTATTCACAATTTATATAAACTTTAATTTCTTTTAATATTTTGTATAAAAAACTTTACA